TGAGGCCGTGTCCCACATACAGCAACTAGAAGGATGTGCAGCTATGACATACAACTATCTACTGGGGCTTTGGGGGGAAAAAATAAATAAATAAATAATTAAAAAAAAAAAAAAAGGAAATTCCACCATCTGGAATTCAGGGACTCTCCAACAGAATTCCAGATACACAGTTACCTCCCAATTAAATTAAAGATGACAATCACATTTCACCATCATTATGAGTTCGGTGTTCTTATTTTGGGGATCATCTTCAAAACCATATCCAATAATTTCAGGGCTAGTTTCCATTGCATATTTCTGTAGAACTCGTGAAACACATAATGATGTCGAAGATAACCTCATAGGACGGTTTGGAAAATACTGGGACATTTCATATCCTGGCCTTTTCCTTTTTTGTTGCAGGCACACATTTCCTAGATTGAATCTATAAGTGTTTTGTTCTACCCCTTAAAAACTTATTTTTAAAAATGTAAGAAAACTTGGGGCCAGCCCGGTGGCTTGGCGGTTAAGTTCAAGAGTTCCGCTTCGGCGGCCTGGGGTTCGCAGGTTTGGATCCCGGGCGTGCATCGATGCACTGCTCATCAAGCCATGCTGTGGTGGCATCCCATAGAAAGTAGAGGAAGATGGGCATGGATGTTAGCCCAGGGCCAATCTTCCTCAGCAAAAAAGAGGAGCACTGGTATCGGATGTTAGCTCAGGGCTAATCTTCCTCACACACACACACAAAAAAGTAATAAAACTGGATTTTAAGTATTCTAGAAGCACAGTTTTCCTTTACTGACTTATTGAGAAGGTAGAATCGCATCTAACATAAAACTAGCACATTCCCTACACTGAAGTGAATCTACCTGCATTTTTCATATGACAAACAGTCCTAGTTTTAACAAGGGCAATGCCGGGTTGAAGGAGTCAGTTCATTAGTGTTATAGGAAAGATGATTTATCAATAATTCTCTCACGCACATAATGGTGCCCTTATTTAATTTTAAAACTAGATCAGTATTAATTCCCTTTGATAAACACACACACACGCCACACACATCTTGAGAAATAACACTCTGTCCTTGTTTTCTGTCATTAGTATCACCACTGTTGTTAATGTTGTGTGGATTATCCGAAATCACATCGATTGAATGCCAGCCAAGATCAACAAATCTCTGAATTGGATTCAAGCAATTAATTACTAATGTGGAAATCGTTGAAAAGGCACAGTCTCCCATCAAACATACATATGCCTGTCATACACACACTCTCACAAAACCAGAAAAAGATTTGAGGCCATTTATGCTTCCTCTATAAAATATATCACAAATAGTTTAAATTAAAAAAATAGATATAAAAGTATGGTTTTTACTTTCAAGGGAAGCAACTGAACAACATTAGGGTAGAGTGGCATGACCTCATAGGATTGTTAAGAGAATTAAATAAAATTAAATAAGATAATGGAAGCAAAAGCACCTGGTGCATAATAGAAGCTGATTAAATATTAGTTGACAGTAAATGTTGTTTAGTTCCCAAACTGAAACACATTAGCCATAATGACATATTATATTTATAATAACTTTCTGGTTTAGTATCTCCAACTGGCTAAGAATTGGTTTCATAGATTGCTGTGTGGTTAGAAAATACAAGAATATATTATTATTCCTTCCTGTTAGCTAACTCAATAACCTTTCTAAAAGAGTTTAATAGATTTTGAAACAACATATGATCAATATTTCAAATTAAAAAGACTAGAACTCTGAAATAAGATTGTTACTTAACTTTTACAGTAGTTTCTCTAAAATTTTTATCTTTTAAAAATATTCATAAATGTTAAATAAACAGAGCTTTGTAATGATAGATAATGAATTATAACAGTTAAGAAAACAGAGTTTGGGGCAAAAGAGAGTTTTTTAAATGATCAATTTTTAAAATACTCCAAATGTTTACAATATCCAAATAGTAATATTACACAAAATGACAAATATTGTATGATTCCACTTATACGAGATCCTTCGAGTAGTCAAATTCATAGAGACAGAAAGTAGAATGGCAGTGGCCAGGGCCTGGGGGCAGGTGGGAATGAGGAGTTATTGTTTAATGGGTGCGGAGTTTCAGTTTGGGAAGATGAAAAAGTTCTGGGGATGGATGGTGGTGATGAACGTACTCAATGGCACTGAACCATAATACCTAAAAAATGGTTAAAATGATAAACTTTATGTGATGTATATTTTACCACAATAAAAAATTAATAACATCATTAGCATCTAATGTTTCAACAATACACAACATTACTTACAGCGGGGAATTGTCATTTTATAATTATTCAGTTTTACAACAGGTCACACGCGAACATACCCACAATCAAGGTGATGCCCATGCTAAGGGAGCTGACCCAGGCAGTCAGGCCGCGGCTCTGATGGAATTCTTCAAGCCATTCCACATTGAGGACTCCCAGGGCCATCTGGGAGCCCATGATGAGGATGTGCACAAAGAAAGAGGACAGGACCATCATCCACGCCCATCCACCATCAATGTCTGGGTGGGGTTTAAGTGTCTTCTTATCTTTGGGGTCATCTTCAAAATCATATCCAATGTCTTCATGACTTGTATACATTTTTCAAGATTTTCTGAAATACATAGGACAGATCATTTGGTTGAACATTAAGACAAAAAATGTCTTCATCTTCTTTGGACAGCTCTGCCTCCCCATCATAACCAAAGCGGCCCCATCATCACATCAGCCCTTCAGATCAATCTTTGTCATTATGTGGATTTGGGAACATTCCTCACTTTTTCACAGTGCTTTTATGAAAGCTGTTTCATCTTTACAGTCATCCTGTCTGTAAGTATTATGACCCCCATTTATGGACATAGACTCAGAGAAGTGAAGTGCCTTTCCTGAGGTCTCATGGCCAGTAAGTAGTATGGCTAGACAGGAAACTGGGAACTGAACCCAGCAATTCCCGACTCCAAAGCCCAGGCCTTGTGTCCTTTATTGAGATGGATACTGACAGGTAACAACAACGTCAGAGAAGGAAGACACCTGTCCTTAGTCAGCCTTCCAGGGTAGCTTCACTTTGGTGGGGCCGTGGCAGAGGCTCTGTTTCTCAGTTTTGTGGGTCCAAGTGTTCTATTTCCAGTACAGCCAGAGTGGATTAGCTTCAGGAGACTGACTCATACGAACCCAACTCAGAAAAGATCGATAAAGTAGAAAGCCAATTTATTATTTTTGCAATGGGAGATAACAACTTTCTAATAATGGTAATACTTATGTCAGATATACAAGACACCCACCCCCATTCCCAGCATCTGCCTGGGAAACTTAGTTACTAGAAAATTGCTTGAAGAATAGGAAATCAGACTAAAAGATTTTGGATACTACAGTGATATACAGGTTACTAAGTGAGGTTACCAGGGAGCTAGAATCTGGATCTTGCCTGCGTGCCAAATAAGGAGCTTTGAGTTTATCTCGTACATAATAAACAGCCAGTAGCTGAATGTGCACAAGGAAGAGACAGGATGAGATCTGTGCTTTGTATAGATCCATTATCTCTCAAGATGTTCGGATAAGAGGAGGGAGGCTGGATGGAGCTAGAGAGGGGATAATGCCAGGGTAGGGGAGGACTCTGGTTTTGCTTTAGTTTTTAGGATGAGAATTAAGTGTGTGCATAAGAATTGAGGATAAGAAGCAAAAGAGGAAGATAGAGAGGATGACTCATCCCAGAGGTGGTGGGACAGAGTTGGTCTTGACTAGGAGGGGTGACCCATCCTCTGAGACTAGAGGAGGCAGGAGGTGGGTGGAGATAAGATGGTAAGCACTGGGATGGAAAGTCACACCTGTTGGTCTAATTTCTTTGGTGAGGTAGGAAGCTAGATCATTGGCTGAGAATGAGGAGGAGGGCGGTTATGTAGGGGCCTCCATGTTCAGGATAATGGAAGAGATTGTTGCCTACAAGTGGAAACGATTGTTGGGCACTTCCAAAGGTAGCACTGAGCCCTGCAGCGATGGGAACACTCTGCCCCAGAAGCAGGCAATTAGGTGGAGCATCATTGGTAGAGAACGTTAAAACAACAACAAACGCCTAAGAGTTGGTCTACTTTTTTATGATCGCCATGTGCCAGGAATTCTAGACAATGTCTAGACACTGATAAAATACTCCTCTCCAAAAGCATCTTTTGCTGGTCAAAGTTCCAAACAATTATGTTTTAATGTTGTATCTGTGAGCTTCAAATCAGCATGCTTTTATTACTCATCCTTTCGTAAACATTGTATTCTACACAGAAGTTATTTCAAGAGAACTGCTGGTTATACACACAGTTGACCCTGACACACATGTGGCCCCAGCTACACACATTTGTTTTGAGAGTAAGTTCCTAAGAGCTCAGAATTGTTGGAGCTCACCTCGGCTCAATTTGGATCTGCAGCCCCTGTGGTGCCACACCCATCACTGCCTTTAGCAGGACATAGAGATGGACTGTGACAGCACAGTTATCATGGAGATGAAGAATCAGATGTCCAGTTACTTCACTTCTGTCACTTTAGGTGCCCCTTGGGAGACTGTATTTTTTTTTTCTGTTGCCCATCTTCCTCTGTTTTTTTGGCTTGAGGAAGATTAGCTCTGAGCTAACATCTGTGCCAATCTTCCTCTACTTTATATGTGGGTTGCTGCCACAGCATGGCTGGCAAGTGGTGTAGGTCTGCACCCAGGATTTGAACCCATGAACCCAGGCCGCTGAAGCGGAGCACGCCAAACTTAACCACTACAACACGGGGCTGGCCCCGGAGATTGTAATTTTGTTTAAATTTTAACATACTGAAACAGAGTGCAAGACTGCGAGGTGAAAAACTTTGGTTTGGAAAGCCAAATTTGTAGTCAATACGTGAAATGTTTTACTCAATTTGAATAATGTCTTTAAAATGGAAATCTATCTTTTTTTTCAATTAATCATCTTAAAATAGAAGAACAAATAAGAAAATAATGATTACCCCTAACCACTATATATGACTATTACTGAAACTCATTTTGTTGCAAGAGAGGAAGGTGGTGTAAAAAATGATCCCAACCACCTCCCGTTGTGGGACGTCTCTCAGCCATGTTGTGATGTGGCCGGGGAGGACAGAGAAGCAGACTGTGGCCAACTGCACAGCGCCCACAGCCTCTTTCTGTACAGCCCTGAGCTTAGAATTGTGTTTACCTTTTTTTTTTTTTTTTTTTAAAGATTTTATTTATTCAGTTTTTTCCCCCCAAAGCCCCAGTAGATAGTTGTATGTCATAGGTTCACATCCTTCTAGTTGCTGTACGTGGGACTCGGCCTCACGTTGGACGGAGAAGTGGTGCCTCGGGGCGCTCCCGGGATCCGAACCCGGGCCGCCAGCATCAGAGCGCGCACACTTAACCGCTAAGCCACGGAGCCGGCCCTGTGTTTACCTTTTTAAAGGCCATATGGCTCATAAAACCTAAAATACATGCTCTCTGACTCTTTATAGGGAAAATTTTCTGATCCCTGGACTATAGCACTGGTTCTGGCTAGGAGTTTACTGGGAAGAAATGGGCGCTAGGGAACCAGGATGTCAGTGGAAGAGCACTTTAATGGATCTGTCCTGTCATCTTGATTCTTTCTTTCTCTCATACCTCATTATCATTATTATTTTTATCTGTTAAATGATTCCGTCTCCTAAACAGCCATCTACTTCTCAACCACTGCGCTTCCTGCCCACAACGCTGGTCTCTGCCTGGGTCTTTTTCCACCTCTCCATTACCCAGACTGCTGGGAGGGATAAAGGTATCTTACCGCGTAATTTCCCCGCCATGTCAAGTTATCTTCAGAATCGAGTCCAAACGCCTCCTGGCCGCTGCCAAGTTCTCCTCTCCCGTTACCTGTGGCCCCTGCTGGGTCCGTTCTCCCATCCCGCACCTTTGCTCTTTGCTCTCCAACCCTGCTCAAGCCCCTAGAGCTTCCTGCACCTAGTGCAGTCTCCTGAGCTTCGTGCATGACAGTTCCCGCTTCCCTATTTTGGGAACGCACCTCTCTCCTTTGAATCGCCTGGTAATCTTCTGTTCATCCTGCAAAATTCAACTAAACTGTAAGAGTGAAACCTTGAAATAGTGAGAAAAAAAACTCTGCAAACATCTCTCATATTCAACATTAGAATGCGTGTTCAATCAATCATGGTATAGCCATGCAATGCCAGTGCACTATCAAGAGTAAAATCGTACAAGGCTCTTTCAAGACGTGGCAAGCAGGTCACACCAAGGTGTGAATTATACATGGTGGTTACAAAATGGGATGTATGTGCTAATCCCTTTGTTGTTGCTGTTGTTAAAAATACATATCTGTAGGGGGCCGGCCCTGTGGCTTAGCGGTTAAGTGAGCATGCTCCGCTACTGGCGGCCCCGGGTTCTGATCCTGGGCGCGCACCGACGCACGCCTTCTCCAGCCATGCTGAGGCCGCGTCCCACATACAGCAACTAGAAGGATGTGCAGCTATGACATATAGCTATCTACTGGGGCTTTGGGGGAAAAAACAAATAAATAAAATTATTAAAAAAAAAATACATATCTGTAGGAAAAAAGACCAGAGTCAAACAAAGAAAAACGCTGATGGAGATTATTCTTTGCATGATGGTCTCAGAAGTAATTTTCCCTCTTTTTTATTTATCTTATTGGTAAAAAAATTCTAAATAAACATACACTAACTTGTTATAAGAAAATAAAGTTCCCTCTCTCTATCTTTTAAACATCATCTGGATCAGCTTCTTGCCTCCAGTAGGTTAGTGGCTAAATTGTAAAAGAGAAGAAAAAGAAGAAGAGCCACTTCTCTTGAGAAGTCTAGTCTGCACTGGGCTCTAGGCTTGCGTGTGTGTCTGTCTCCACCCGCTTCTCCTCCAATGAGATGACAGGCTGCCAGGGGATAGAAGGGGATGGGGCAGCCCTTGCTTTCCAAAGCTCACAGCTCAGAAAAGAGCTGTACTGTTGGAAGGACCCAGAGGATGAACCTGGAAAGGGTACAGAAGGGGTATTTGGCGTCGTCTTCCCTCCACCCTAGCTAGTTGTATGCAGAATCCCAAGGAGCCAGAAAGAGGAGAACCAGGCAGCTTGACAGGGAGCCTGACTGGCCTATGTGAGTAATAATAACATCGTTTTACACCCGTGGGACAATGGTCTGTTATGTTTAAGAAGATAAACAACACAACTTGGCATTTTCCTCAAGTCCATCTACATCCAAGGAAGCTTTTGAAATAATAAGAATACAAAAGTCATAGTTTTTCAGCCCATGAGTTGAAATAGTAAGCATTTTTCTAGGCAACGTTAGAACTTTATATTCTCACTGAATTATTTACTTTATGGGTTAAGAGATGCAGTCGCCATTGAACTGCTCTCGACATTTCCAGTTTATTTCTTCATAAATAAATGATAGTGAATAACATTTAATGGACAAGTTTTACTCAAGAGGCACAACCATGTGTGTAGAATACAGTATCAGATGGAGAGTACTGGTGGGGGTGGGTGAAAGTTCTATCAGGTCCTCAGGGGGTCCCTAAAGATCTACCAGGAAATAGAATCATGTGCACGTCACATCGAAATCTCTCTGAAAGTAATTCCTGTTTTGACTAATCACAGTTAACTTAGTGTCCAATCAGGTTGACTAAAATAAACAATATACAACAAAAAAAGAAATGACTCTCCCCTCCATCCCCAAGTTTGCTTTTAGCATTTATATAATTATAAGATACAAAATATTGATTTGAGTATGATAATCCTACTCTGCATCTGGAGAATGGGAGGGTTTCTGGACCACTCTGCCCCAGGCTCCACGTCTTTCTCCACCATACACCTTCAAGCTCCCCCACCTTTTCCACACCCTGACACACGTGTAACATGACAACACGAGTGTGGTGCACTGGGGTAAATGGAGGCAGTGAGTGTGGGGCTTCTGCTAAGGACCAATATGCAAAATGAAACCCATTCTACGCTTGCCTATTGGAAGCTCAGCACATACTCCCAGGGCCTCGAGCTGAAGAAGGTGGAGAGAGGAAACGGGAAGACTATGGGACAACAGTCAACCTTCCATTCTCCCCAAATGCGAGCTCATAAACGGTGACAAAGAAATCATAAATGCGGGGAAACGAAGTAACGCATGTAGGCTATGAAATGCAGGTCAGCTACATATTCACGTGCTAACAGGCAGAAACGAAAATAATGTAGAGCCTGCTGGAGTGTATCAGAGATTAAAACTAAATTTTCCACAGTTCTGTTACGAAAGTAAATTTTACAAGCAAGTCGTTCGTTTTTAAGTTGGCTATTGTGATTTTGTTAGCATGCCAGGAGCTCTTTAAAAATGAGAAGCAAAGGGGAAAGCGCCAAGTTACAACTAAAATTACAATTTTCCCCAAAGGGGGACAGAGCACGTTGGTAGCAGGTTCCTCATCAGACGCAGGTGTAGTGGGTCCCCCTTTAATCTGGCTCTGTAGATAGTTTTGCCCTCTAGACCAGGGGTGCACGGGAAATCTCGGGCCCTTAGAGGGCGCACTTGAGGCCAACAGGCTGAGGTTGGAGCCGCGAAGGTTAGGAGCCGAGCTAGTGTAGAGACGACAGCGCAGGAGAAATGGGAACTCCAGCCGGGTTCACGCTGTATTAGCGGAACTAAACCTATATATGCCTTCCATGGGTCAAGGACTGTGCTGGGGGCTTCTCCACAACGATACTGTCGGGTTGATATTAATGTCCCATTTCACAGATGTGGAAATTGAGGCTATCTGTCGAATGGAGGCAAGGAAGCTTAGAGAGGTCAAACCAGCAGGTGCAGGAGCTCAAATTAGAACCCAGGCCTGAGAGATTCCAAAGACTATTTTATCCCCTCCTTCTCCCCAACTAATACATTCTCTCTGTCTCTGTCTCTGCCTCTCTCCCTCTCTCTCTCTCTCACACACACACACACACACGCCAGACAAGGCGAAAAGGGATCTTTCTAATCCCCAATAATAACCCTCATTCATTCTTGCTAATGAGCCTGAATCAACTTTTCCGCAGAAAGAAAACAGCCTAAATGGGAAGCAGAGCAGAGCCCCTACAACGTTGTCAATGGCCTTGGCGGCGTTTGGCTCCGAAATGGCCGCCCCAGGTCCCTCACCCCACTTCAGTCTCTCCTTTTCTCCCTGGAGGAGCCTTGATCAGAACCGCTCTGGGGGGCCCAGCATCTGCACGCCCCGGGCTTGCCCCCGCGGGATCGGGATCCGGCCTCCGCGCCCCGCTCCGAGCGCCCGTCCCCGGGCACTTGGTTCTCCCCCTTTCTCCGGCACCCCGAGACTCCCCCTCCCAGGCCCCCCGCGTCCTCTGGCGCGCTCGGAACCCGCCAGCTCCGCGGGGAAGCGGGGCCGATCGCAGTCCCGGAAGCCTGCGCGGGGAGGCATCCGGCACCCCTAAAGGTCCCCTAGCCGCAGCCTCCCAGTCTCTCCCTCTGGGCTCCGTCACGGCCAGTTCGAGTCCCAAACTGGGGCCGTGAGAGAAGGCGGGGAGCGAGGCTGGGCGTGGGGCAGAGCGCGCCTCTCCGGCCGGGAGGGGTTCCGAGGGGCGCCGTGCGCCCTGGATGACGCGCGCGGGGCCCCGGCCGCCGTGGGAGCGAGGTGCGCGTCCCCAGGCTCCGCCCTGGACAGCGGTTACCCCGCCCGCCCCGAGGTGGCCTCGCCCGCAGCTCGGGGTCCCCCCCGCGGGCGGCCTTGGCGCGACCACCGTGCCCCGGCGCAGCCCTGCTCTCGACCGCCGGGACCCTGCCCTGGGCCCGCGCCGCCCCGTCCCCCGGGCCCGCGGCTGGGGTGCAGCGGCCACCCATAGTCCAAGATGCCCGCGGCGCCGCGCGGCCTCGGGATACTCACCGCCTGCAGCCCCCGGGGCTGCGACCTCACTCGCCTCCTGGCCCCGATCCCCGAACTTGCTGTTTCCCTCGGAGCCCCCTGAGCGGCTGCGTGTAGAGATTTGTTGCAATGTCGCCTGTCATCCTGGAGCTGCCGGTGCCTGCGGCTCGGCGCTCCGCCCGGCTCCGTGCGCTGGGTGCGGGGCTCCCGGGCTCCTCGGCCCCTCGCTGCCCGGCCGGGAGAGCGCTTTGTGGAGCGTCGAGCTCGAGGCCTCAGTCCGTGTTGGCTTTAAAAAGGGTTCGTGTGGAGGCGCCCGAACCTAAGCCGAGCTTCCTTCCAATCGATGAAATTTCAAATCTCCACGCTCTTTCATTCCTATACCGGCTAATTCTGGTTTGGCAGAAAAAAATTGCAGTCACCTCACGTGCACACTCTTGTGGCCGGTTGAAGTTTACAGCTCTGGCTGAGGTTCGCTCATGTTCTGCACGTTTATCACTGGCGGAGAGGGCCTGAAACCTAACCCAAGGTGCCGGTGAAGATAAAAGTGTCTTCCTTTCTCTGAGATAAGAGAGAAGTCAGGAAAAAGCCCTCACCCAAGTCTGGGCCGCAAAATATGGCAGTTTGTAGATAAAAGAGCTGGGCAGGATCTGCAGTATTCTTGGCTAAAGAGGACTGAAAATCCATTATCCTTTGCCCCATCCTGGGTTCCACCTCCCTCTGCTCTTTCTCTGATATCTGACTGTTGCCTGTTACCTAGGTTCTTGGGCACCAGGCACAAATTTCCTTTCCACATGTTCCCGACACAATGCTTTGCCGGTGGAAAGTTTTCAATATTTGTTAGGTGAATGTGTGAATAAACGGAGCCAGTGCTGTTTTACCTCACTTGAAGGATTTTGTAGTAGGTTTCCATTGCTGTTGTAATAAATAATCACAAACTTAGTGTCTGAAAACCATGCAAATGTATTATCTTACAGTTCTGGAGGTCAGAAGTCTGAAATGGGTCTTACTGGGCTCAAATTGAGGTGTTGGCATGGTTGTGTTCCTCCTGGCAGCTCTAGAGGAGAGCCACCAGCTTCTAGAGGGTGCCCACATTCCTTGGCTCAAGGCGACTTCCTCTGTCTTTGAAGCCAGCAACATTGCGTCATTCTGTGCCTTTCTCCTATAGTCAAATCACCCTCTGTCTCTTCTATTCTGTCTTCCTCTTCCACTTTTCAGGGCCCTTGGGATTACATTGAGCCCACCCAGTGGTCATTAGATTATTAGATAATCCAAATAATCTCCCTGTTTTAAATTCAGCTGATTAGCAATCTTAATTCCACCAGCAATCTTAATTTCTCTTTTGCCATATAAGGTAACATATTCACAGATTAGGATGTGGACATCTCTGGGGGACCATTAGTCTGTCCATCAGAGATTTATTTCCTCCTTCCTTCCTTTTCTCCTTCCTTCTTTTCTTGTTCCTTTTTCTTTTTTACAAAAAAAGAATATCCACCTGTATTTCACATTTCCATTTCTTACATCAAATCTTGATTAAAAAATAATTTGAGAACATTGTGAGAAATGGTGGTTAAGTGAGGACGTTTTGGTGAGGCAGTAGGCTTATGTGGTCCAAATATTTTACTTTTGCTGATCAAACATGAACAAATGGATGGTTAGTATTCCCTCGGGCTGTCCTTCTCAGATATCTTAGCTCATTTCAACCAGGCTTTTTACAGCAAGTCAAGATTGGGGTTCCTGGCAAGTACCTCAAGTACAGATGACTCATCTTATTTGGAAAGAGATCTGTAAGATTTTTGTCTGTTTTTTTTCTCTGAAACATTATAGATTTATTGAGGTATAATTGCTGTAGTATGAACTGTACATACTTAAATGTATAATTTGATGAGTTTTAGTCTGTGGAAACATTACCTCAATCAAATAACTCTAAAATTTCCTTGTGTCCTTTGTAAACGAGTCCTCATCTCGCCCCCACACCCCCAGGCAACCTCTCATCTGCTCTCTGAGAAGCTTCTTCTGAGATGCTTCATCTCTGGACTATGTGTACTTCGAATCTAGAATGCCTGTAAAAGGCTTTTCTTTCCTTTCTTTTTCCAGCTCTATTGAGGTATAATTGACAAATAAAATTACATATATTTAAAGTGTACAACATGATGATTTGGTACATGTATACATTGTGAAATGATTACCACAATCAAGTTAATTGACACACCCAACATTTCCCATAGTTACCTTTTTCTGTAGTGAGAATGCTTAAGATTTACTGTCTTAGCAAATTTCAAGTGTACAATATGGTATTGTTAACTATAGTCACCATGCTGTACATTAGATTCCCCAGAACTTATTCATCTTATAACTGAAACTTTGTACCCTTTGACAAACCTCTCCCCATTTCCCCCATCCCCCACCCCTTGGCAACCGCCATTCTAGTCTCTGTTTCTATGAGTTGAACTTTTTTTTTGTTTAGGTTCTACATATGAGTGAGATCATACAGTATTTTTATTTCTGTCTGGCTTATTTCATTTAACATAATGTCCTCCAGGTTCATCTATGTTGTCACAAATGGCAGGATTTCCTTCATTTTTTTGTAGCTTAATAATATTCCACTTTCTTTAGCCATTCATCCATTGATGAGCACTTAGGTTTTTCCTAAGTGTCTTGGCTGTTGTAATAACACTGCAATGAACATGGGGGTGCAGATATCTCTTTGAGATACTGATTTTGTTTCCCATAGAAGCCTTTCTGATCAATCATTTTTTCTTTACAAGTGTCATTGCTTTTCTCTGCCTGGAGGTCTGTCGTTAACACAGGTAGGCTGAGAACAGGCCCAGAGCAAAGGGACCTAATTGTGATCCTTGGGTTGGTATGTCTGAGTTAACTGAATAGAAATCCACTCTATATTAGAATGTAAAAGACAAGCACTAACCTCTTTTGCTGTATCTGAAGTAGAGGAACCTGATGTTATCTCTTGATTTTTAGGCAAGTTACATATTGTCCCATGACAGCAATCTTATTGCTTTTAAGTGAGTCATATCAAGTAATAACCTTGTCCCTTAAGAAGATAAAATGACTCAAGTGCTGCCTCTAAAAGCCTTTCCTCTCGGTTTTAATCATGCACTCAACTGATTTCATAGCTCCACGTTGGAGTTGGGGCAGAACTAAGAATCTGGGCAATCTGTGCCTTAATTTTGGTGGCTCAGTGGTGTGGATTAGGCATAGTGCGGGATAAAATCAGCTTTTGAGGGAGTTGCTAGCACAGAATATTGAAGGTTTTAGAGGAATACCCTGAAGTGTCACCTTGACTGCCCCATTTTTATAGCCAGTCCAGATATGAATATGGCCTGAAAAGCACGTGGTTATCCCGAGGACATTGTTCTGCCCATCTCTCAGCGTAGAAGGCAGCCCCACCGGCACCCCTCCGAGTTTAATACAGGGAGACTGTGATGGTTAATTTTGTGTGTCAATCTGACCAACAAGTGTTGGTGAGGATGTGGGGAAATTGGAACCCTCGTACACTGTTGGTGGGAATGTAAAATGGTGCAGTTGCTTTGGAAAACAGTCTGGCAGTTGCTCAAAAGTTTAAACATGGATTTACCATATGACCCAGCGATTCCACTTCTAGGTATATATCTAAGAGTAATGAAAACACTTGTCCACACAAAAACTTGTACATGAATGTTCATAGCAGCATTATTCATAATAATAAAAAAATGGAAACACCCCAAATGTTTATCAACTGATGAATGGATAAATGAAATGTGATATATCCATATAATGGAATATTATTCAGCAATAAAAAGAAATGCAGTACTGATACATGCTAAAACATGGATGAGTCTTGAAAACATTATGCTAAGTAAAAGAGGTCAGTTACAAAAGACCGAAAGACTACATCTTATCTGATTCCATTTACATGAAATGTGCAGAATAGGCATATCTACAGAGACAGAAAGTAGATTAGTGGTTGCCTAGGGCTGGGATTTTGGGAGGAAACAGAGAGTAACTGCTAATGGGTACAGGGCTTGTTTCGGGTGATGAAAATGTTCTAAAAGTGATTTTGGTGATGTTTGCGTAAATCTGTGAATATACTAAAAACCACTGAATTACAAAAAAATTTTTTTAATTAAAAAAATAAAAAATTTCCTCCCAAAGTGACTAGAGTGGACCATATTCAGTGGACTGAGAATGGGTTATGATCTGAGCATAATGATGAATCCACTTCTATGTACCTGAAGTCCAAGATATATTTAATTAATCTCTGTTCTTTAGTTTAAATACCTTCCTTAGCCTCATCTTAAACAATAATATCCACAAAATCGTGGTTGTGGTGTGCTAATCATACGTTTGTCTAATGCATATCAATAGACAACCCTAATTATTTAAAAGTTTATCAGCCTAGCTCCTGCCTCATGGTTCCGGCCACCTCCTGCTTGGTCTTGCTGCCTGCATATATCTGTCTGATGGGCATTCTGTAACAGAGCCTGACTGTTTACCTGCAGGTCTGGCTCATGAGATCGTGTGAGAAGACCATTTGCTTTTCCAAAGGGATGTTATAAGCAAAGACATGACAGAAATCCCAAGACCTTCAGGTCTGAATTTTCTTCCTGGTCTAAGACCTCCCCAGACTTTATCCCTACAAAACTTCCCCTGCCCCCAGTGGTTTCAAGTTACACCATGAATTCAAATTCAAAGAACAGATCAAGGGTGAATGAATACACAGCAAAATCAGCAACATGTTTTTGTCTTTACATTAGTCTTCCATGTTTTCTACATTTTCCTTTCTGATGAAAATAATCAATATCCTCATGTAGTAGCATATGATTACATAAGAGCAGAAATTCTAAAACACCAGTTCTGTCACTAACTTGGAAATTAAGCACTTTCTCACACGTGTGTCTTAAAAAATAATGCTTGGTTCATGGGGGTTGTATGATAGTTTTGTTGGTTACTATTATAAATTATTTTGTTGACTTTTATGAAATCAGTGATGTTAGTTAGCAAATCATTAACCCTTTTTCCTGCAGCTATAGGCTTTTCTTCTTTTGTTTAATATCCATTTTCCTGAAAAGTTGCATGTAGATCAAACCTTATTTTAAATGCTCTCGGGGTGTTCGCTAATGGAAATGCCTGGTGAATCCTTCTGAGGCTAGAAGAATCCTCATATACTGGTATATTTATATACCAACTTTTCTGTTTTATAGGTTTGGATTTAAATTGTATTATTTCCCGTAAAGCATAGCACACTTGCAACTTATACTATTTTTGAAATATTTTGAGTGTCCAAAAATGGATTGTTGGCATTTAACGTCCATGCTCCATGTTAAAAATTCAACTCCACATCATATTCTTTGAGAAGGTCACCAGTGAATAGGACTAAGTCTGGGACTCCATGAACATGGATGAGAAAGATCTAGCACTTTCTCTTGT